GGTGGCCCTTGGGCCGGCCATCCTCGTTACATGAGGGGCAACCATTGTTTTATATATATATATATATACATATGTGTGTGTGAAGGATTCTAAAGTGGTATTAAAACATACAACCGCGCGCACACACACACACACTGAAGCTAAGTGGATGTAAATGCTGCCACACACACACCTCCTGTGTAAGCAATATATTTCCTACCTGTCGTAAATGCAAGCTGGCGTGATATCCTCCCACAAATTCTGCCCGTCTTACTTATGCCTGTGTCGTAAACAAAGTTTAAAATTCGCGATTCTTTACACCCAAAATATATATAATTTGTGAATCCATAAAGACTGTGTGATTACGTTTTATTTAGATACGTCAAGGAACATATAGTCTACTTACGTCAGCTTATATTATGAAGTATATCCCGTTAGTTTATGTTTAATTAATTGGTTAGTAATAATAATAATAATAATCATAATAATAATACGAAGAAGAAGAAGAAGATAGACCGAATAATAATAAAGGAGAGAGAGAGAGAGAGAGAGAGAGAGAGAGAGAGAGAGAGAGAGAGAGAGAGAGAGAGAGAGCAGTGAATGTGAGTTAGGTGGTCCTTCAGAAACCAGAGGTATTCACGAATGACTGAAGAACCTGACGTTGGGAGTGTTTTGTTTTGTGTTCTGAGGACTTATTGCCGGCGAATGATGGTGGGTTAGAGGAGAAGGCGTGTCACCAGGTAGTGTGTGGAAGAGATGCACCGTGGGAGGGAGGCACCGTGGGAGGGAGGCACCGTAGAAGGGAGGCACCGTGGGAGGGAGGCACTGTGGGAAGGAGGCACCGTGGGAGGGAGGCAGCGTGGGAAGGAGGCACTGTGGGAAGGAGGCACTGTGGGAGGGAGGCACTGTGGGAGGGAGGCACCGTGGGAGGGAAGTAAACACACTCACACAAAGTCAAATCAGATATGTATTCACCTATTCGTGGGTGACGTGAGAAGAGGCGCGTCACCCACACACTCCCGTCCACCCACCCACCTAGGCAGGATTTCCGGAGACTTCATAAAAAGATGAATTCGTCGTGAGGTGAAGGTCTTACTGATAGACCTCCAGAACAGGTATATAGCCAGGCTAGTAAAAGGATCTCTCAAGTGCACAATTATCAGATCCTTTGACGATAAAATATATTAAACCCGTCGTGTGAGGCTGTTATTCCCTCGTTGGTGTGCCTTTCTCGCTCCACTGCCTCCTGATGACACTCTTAATAGTGTGTTTGTATACAGAAGACTTTAAGAGTGAGTCAGAGTGTAAATAGGAGACATGAGTAGTTCAGACTCGCGAGCAGGATTTTAAGGGAGCATAGTGGTGGTCGTGAGCAACAGATTGAAAGCTCCTAGTGTTGAGCCAGATTAAATAAGTTTCTTTAACTTCTGTAGTTCACAAAAGCTACCGGAACTTCACCTCCTACACGCACTATTGTGAGAATTCGTAAAGTCTTCGTTTACAGCTGTGCATCGTGTCTGCCATGTTTGTTACAGATATCCAGTATTGCTACGCTACAATGTGATCCATAAATTTAAAAGAATGTTTAACAGACCCACGTTAAGAAGAGGTTATAGTGGACACGGTAGTCATCTGAAGCATTTCCCTCTGGGCTGCCTAATTTTCATACGACGGCAATCCTCAGTACCCACCTGAAGGTACGACTCCCCATCCTAACCCACATTAATTTTAAGCACCCCAACGGTACTCGGGGTGTCTAAACATCATAAGTTTCTAATTTTTCCCGATTTAGATGTCGGCGCTGACCCAAATTGCCCCACTTGAACTATGAGACAAATGACTAAAAATGCGTCGAAATTTTTGTGATTCTTTACTGTACATAGACCTTGACGGTACTGTACCCAGGTGTGTGCTCGTATCGTAAGACAGGGAAACACAGTTCAGCTTTCATGAGTGAGGAGTGAGACGGTGGCTCAGCCCAACACCACGACCCAGGTATTGGATTTCAAGGTTTCATTAATCTTACTAATGTTGGTGGAAGACATGTCTGGAGTCCCTGCCTCGGCGGGTCTGTTGGGACACCGTGGAGTAATGAGGCTGCAGGTTGAGGCCATGCTGGAGGCCGAGTGTTTTACCATAATGGAGGTTGAGTTTGAGGTTGAGATTTGGATTTTCATCAATGGGAATTTGATCCGAACCTTATCATAGAACCACTGCACTAGGGGGGTGGGGGGGGGGAGGAAGGGTACCGGGTAGGTATTAATTGTTGTAGTCATCTGATCTGTCTCGTACGATCTTCCTCGTTTAGTAGGTCAAGGGCGCTGATCCTCACTCTTCTAGTAAATCGTAATCAGTTTAACATTTCATACATTCCAAGTTACTGATGTTTGTTTATATCTCAAGTTTCATGTTAAACCGGTTTATGCACCAGCTCAAATTGCTGTTAATTCAATATATCTTCTCAGTGTGTCAGCCCTGCAGTGACTCTATGGCAGCAAGACGTGGGCAGCGGCAGAATGTACCACTGAATTTGGTGAATAGAGTTACCACAGTCACCACACAACCAAGTCATCCCTCAAGGAATCGCACAAGCAAAATGGATACTGTGAAGCCGCAATATGCATAAATCAATTTGCATTCATAAGTAAGGCGGAATAATATGGCTAGGTGAGAAAGCACCTACTCCCGGCGGGGCGATGGGAGTAGAATGCCTTGTCTAGTCAACCACAAACAATCAACATGTTGAATATCAAACTACTCAGACTCACGTGAACTTCGGCAGTCAACCCCAAGAGATAGTTGATGATATTTGATTCATATTTGACACGGACAAACTTCAAGACGCTTAGAATTTCGTTTTGGTTATTATTAAAGCTTTAGTTTAGTTATAGAACCCAAACACAACACACGGCCTTGCATGTTGAGAGGTGGTGGGTATTGTGGTGTATTGTCTGGACGAAAGTGCCTGGTGTTGTGTACAGAGGCTTATAGTTAACACGAGGTGGTATGAGTTCTACTTGCCAGTTGTAGTCGAAGCCAAAGGGTTCAGATGATGTCCGGGTCTCTGTTAGCACACAGTTGGGCACGGCATCAAGCGCGGTATTTCTGGACCCCCTCCCACCCACGGTGTGACTCCACCTGTCGGGGACTTATCTCAGGTTGGCCCACTCGTTTACAAGTATCGTCTCATCTCTCAGTAGCCAGACACGCTGATGACCTCACCAAATGACACCATCTGCCCTAGTTGCATAGGTCCAGATTCTCAAAAGTTCACGATATAAACGTTCCCAGTGAGTGAAGATTTATGATTGAGTGAAAACAAAGATACCGCTCAGGAATAACACCGGACTTACACGTCATAATCTTCACTAGAAACGTTTATATAGTGTGCAGGACAACAACCTACGGTAGGGTGTGTGGCGCCATAGGGTTGGTAGCTCTTGATTAGTTCAACTGTTCAAAAAATACAAATATAAAATAAAATAAATCATCATTGTGTGTCAGAGATATTAATTATTTTCACAAGAGTTCACGATTATAATTTTCTTCTTCTCGGGCACTCTTGGCCAGTTGACTCGTTGAGCTAAATCAACAAGGCTTCAGAAATGAACGAACTCCCTCCGTTATCTTTTTGACTCGGTAAATCGGATACGTTATAAATGATTTATCTTTGAAAACTGAATTTCATCTCAGTGTCGCCTTGAGAGGAAAAAATTGAAATGGGAAAAATAGCGAGTGGAGTCCGCAATTTAATGGTGTATAAATACCAGGCAACTGCCCCGTGACCTTCAGGAGTGGACCACCAGAATGTTTGTGACCGAGATATTGATCCGACGGGGAGAGCCACTTGCTGCCTCCTCACTGACGACAATGTGAACAGGAAGAGCTCGTCCTCTGAGACATGTTGTACACTTGAAGCCAACAGAGAGCGAGAAGACCAGTGCATTCCTAAGTAAAAATACTGGAAAAGATCGTATATTCAGAGGCAGGAGTGTTGAATTCACTGACATCTCAACAGGCAGTGTGACTAATATTATAAACAGGTGTGGTGCGGGTGTTCGTGTGTTTACTTCAAGGTTTTTCACTCGATTTCTCCTACGATGAACACGACCCTGTTGACCTACTGATACCGCTTATCAGTATCATTCGTTGGATCATGTAAAAGAAAGATTAGGCACCCCAGCTTATTTCACCTCAAGACCTTAACCCTCAGGTAGCGTTTGGGGGTTTTAATTACCAGGTGAAATATGCTTATGGGGGCTAATCTTAAAGTGATCCCTGGTTTGTTTATTTTACAAGAAAATCATAATGGCTAGCCAGACGATCCTCAATAGAGCCTTCAGTTCAGAGCTAAGACCATTACTCTCTTTTCATTGGGGTGTCGCTACAATTATCCTCCTAAAATGGTTCAATATCGTCACAAACTGTTGTCTCATCCACGAGTTGTGTTTACTGAAGAAACTCGCATAAAGTTACAAGGTTTCCAGCACACACTACACGAAACAGTTTTAACTTTGTCTTCATGACCGGTATAAAACGAATGGGTTTAGTTAACGTCAAGTCTCAGAGTAATGTCGATATCACTTGGGATTTTTTATGTTTTGGGTGAAACTTAAAAAAGGTTATCAAGTGTGTCAAGGATCAGGTGTTGGGAAGACGAAGTACATTTACAATTTTTGTTTTTTTATTATTGTGATCTTCAGGTCAATCCCAGCTTGTTTATATAAAAAGCTGTGTAGATGTGGGGTTGGTGTGTGGGGGAGGGGTGGTGGTGTTGGGGTGAGGGGGGGGTGGTGTTGGGGGGGAGGGGGGTGGTGTTCGGGTGTGAGTATCGCCTGTGTTCACGACGCAGCAAGACCCGTGTTTAGTATTAAGACTACATGTACACAGAATCCCACCTCACTCCCGTGTTCTGTCCAAAAAACCATATCGGAGTGTGCAGTTACGTAATGGTGGTAAAAAATATTGTACTAAAAATTTAACACTTTATTTGTACTTAATTTTTCAAGGGGGTTAAAAAATGACATCTAAAATTATTTTTTTTACAAGACCTGTACTGTCAGTGTATAAAATCACTCACATTCACAATTAAAAAGGTGTACCATCACTACAAAAACTGTACAGCACCAGAAAGGGGATCCAGCTACCATAGCCCTTGCGTGGTTAACTACCGAAACGACGATAATGCCTCCGTCCAGGATATATCTTGACCAGCGTGCCCACAGGTGCGTGTCACCCCGTAGTTGGGAGTGAGTCTTCGTGCTTTTGAGCCTCTGAACTCACCATAGGGGAACATGTTTGTCTCCTCCTCATCATCATCATCCTCTTCCTTCCCCCTAACACAGGTTCTCTTCTGCCCATCTCTTTCTTCCGACTTCAATGTGTGTTTCCGCTTAAGCTGCGACTTCTGCACTGAGCCATCTACCACGTCTAGGAAGTCAACGGCGTCCTCCGTGTTGGCGTCTACCTCAGTTTTCATGGTGGCAGTTGTGGAGTCCTCAACGTCGAACCCGTCGTAAGTTTGAATGTTAATAGACGGGTAACTACGACGATCTACACAACCCACCACACACTCCCCCACCTCGCTGGTAGACTGGTCAGGCGCGTCAAACACCACCTGTTGTTCGTCCTCATACGCCAAGTTGATGAACGCAAAGGGACCATCACCTCCAGAGTTTCCCCCACTCGTGTAGCTCCAGGCCTCGCTGTCAGCTCCTTCATCCACCTTCAGGGTCAGATCGACGAAGGCCTTATAACCGGTGGAGTTTTTGGTCCTCGGGAACATTGGATACTGTATCTGGTTGACGCCCTTGCGGGGACTCTCGTAAGGTTTCTTCAGACGTTTGTACCCCATCTTCTCCTCATATTCTGCAGGACCAAGAGTTACTTAGTAATTATCATTTTATTAAATAATGTATCAAGAGTGTTACAGTATGTGATGAATGTTGTGATACTACTGTGCATGAAAATCTATAGAGAATGTTTACCTTTACGTGGGAGTGATAATGTTACCTTACGTGGGAGTGATAATGTTACTTTACGTGGGAGTGATAATGTTACTTTACGTGGGAGTGATAATGTTACTTTACGTGGGAGTGATAATGTTACTTTACGTGGGAGTGATAATGTTACTTTACGTGGGAGTGATAATGTTACTTTACGTGGGAGTGATAATGTTACTTTACGTGGGAGTCTCTATACCAAGAGAGGAAGACATACCTCGTACGGGGTTGCGGCAGGGGTGAGGAGGAGAGGGGCTGGGGGAAACAGATAGGATATCCATCTCTATGTCATTAGATCGGGGCGACGCAGTCTTCTTCTTTTCCCTCTTCTTCTTAACCTCTTTATTCTTTTTCGTCTGCTGCTGCTTCTTCTTCTTCTCTTTCTGTTCCTTCCCGGGTCGCGACTGAAAGAGACATAGCTGAACCTTTTTTTTTGCACATCACTCATTCATGTACAAACTTATTTGCCAAATTATGTGAAATTGTGCTGAAAACAGGCAAACGGTTTTATTGATATTAAATTGTTAAGGACAGACGGAGGTACCGGCGCACTCCATCGCCCCCCTCCTTCGACCGAGAGGATAACAAGGTGGACAAAGTCTTTTCCGACAGTTACCTAAAAACATCTGTAAAACCCAAATCTCTTCCCGAAAACTCCCTCAATTGAAAAATCCCTAACTCCAGCTGTCACAACAACGGCTATGAATGAGGAGAGAATCTTAAACAAACACCATTACAGTACCTCTTCCGTCTGTTGTGTTTGGCCGGCTTACTTCCTCAACCTCCTATATAAACACACCAGTGAAGGTGGTGACAAGGCGGCACTAAATACCTCGGAAATTTTTTACGAACATTCATGTTTGTTGTATTGTAGTAAGTGTAGGTTTGACGAGACGATGAAAACGAATGTGAACCTTCATAATTCGCGTGTTTAATCATCATAAGAACGGCTTCAATGCACCTGCTAAGAACATTTTAGATTTAGTAATGGAATGACTATGGCGTTGTAACAGTTAAAAGTCATTTGACTCATTCACTTAAAAGTATTCTGTTTAAAAGTAAACAAATTAACAGATTTAAAGCGTGGTTTTACGACGAAGACATTTTATTTAACTTTCATGACCGTCCAGGCGAGTTACATTTTACATATTACCTGAAAATCCCGTTAAAATTGTCCAGGTAGTTAAGTGACGACGTTCTACTATACATTTACCTGTAACAAGTTTTATCATTAATATTAAGTAAACGCTTATTAAAACCTTCCTAGTAGTCAACGTTAAATAAATTAATACAGGAGTAAAATGGAATCACCTGAACATTAGCCCCTCAATATTAACCACCCGATCCCCCAGGTATCGCTAGGATCATTAAACGGCAGGTGAAATAAACTGGAGGTGTAAGGTGTCGGGCCTTCCTTACCTTCTCCGTCCTCCGATTCTTCCAAGAGTCTGCGAGGAAACACAAGAAGACGATGATGAAGACGATGCCACAGAAGGTCACGATGCCCACCAGCGGCCACATCACCGAGGGCGCCACCCTGTACATGGTCCTGAAGGAGGATAACATAAGGGCGTCGTGGCCATACATAATGAGGTATAGATTCGGAAAAAGGACAACCACCAAACTCTTTACAGAATCTTAAAAATAATTTCTGGTCGTCACGTTAGGTTAGGTTGGCTGAATTCGTCTGACTTCTTTAGTATGTCAACAATTCACAAACGAAACTTACCTAGTGATTCTCTTTACTTCACTCTAACAATCTAACTAATGATGTAAGCTGATCAAGAGGGCAATATCACCATGTTGACACGCCATGATGGAATGAAGTAGTTACCGGACTCGAATAACCTACAGATAAATGATTCAGTATTGTTAATTGACTTACATGTTTGAGGTGAGATTAATGCAGGACGTATAAACACGGGGCTCGCTTTTGTCACATGCAGGTGCACGTGTACTGGTGTTCAGGTAGCCGGGCACCTTCTGACTGGCTGGAGTGAAGTGACTGCCTCTGTCTGTACCACCCACACACTTCTACCCACTGAAGGTTCGTGTTAGTGAGGCACCACGAACGATACTTTCTAAAATCAGACAGTACGAACCCGTCAATGCTAACCAGGATTATTTGGATAGATTGGTTGATGTCACTTAATAAAAAACAATATAACTTAACAAATTTCATAGTACCCTTCCCATTTTGGTATTTTTTGTCCTTTCTGTTGTGTCCGGGGTTCTGCCTCAACATGACAGCGACCACCACCTACAGTGTTTTATGACGTCATTGGTGTCACAAGTTGCCAGAGACATGATTGGTTAAAGATCTGTCTCTATTATTACAGGTCAGTCTTATCCAACTTCATTCCCTTCGTTTTAGTGCAAGTTACCTAAACATCCTTACAAGGGTTTATTCTGTAGTAACGTGAATGTCAAGTTTGTTAATAAAACTCATTAATTAATGAAAAGTTACTGTTTATTCAAACACAGAATTAGAAGCTTCAATTTCTGGCATCAGGAGTGAACGAATCTGTTCGAAAACCTCATTCGAAGCCCAAATGAAAATGGTTGTTGCTTGTGTAGGACGATTTCAGCCGTGTTGACGTCACCCCCTGCAAAAAAATAAATCATTGTTTACCGAGCGACTTGAAGGGTCACTTATTACTTATAGTCATCCTGTTTAACGACTAAAGCCGATTCACACACCATTTACTGCGTCGGCGGAGTAATTAGCCCTGATTGACAGAATTTTGTAATTTTTTTTTATTGGGCACTCCCCTACATCATTGTGTAGGGTGAAGCGCAGAAGCGTTTACAGCGCCCAACAGGGAAGCATGCTAAGTTCATGCTTGCTTTTATGTCTCATGAGTTAAGGGTGTAGAAGCCTGAAGAGTCAAGGGCGTAGAAGCCTGAAGAGTCAGTGGTTTATGTCCTCAAGTTATTGGAAGCTCCAACAACTTGTCCCTGAATACGAATTCGCAACTTTCGACTAACAAGAATTTTGTAATGAGTCTTATGTTCTCTGCTCGTGACGTTCGGATTTAGAGGGTTTCGGAACAAGAGCAGTATGTGAGGACTACAGGCCTACACACACACGTTGCGGAAACTGACAATATTACGCTTGTTCTGTATTTGAATATATAAAGTAACTGTACTGGATTAAACATTATAATCATCATTTTACAAATTTCCCATCAGCCAAAAGTTCGTGTTTTCGTGTGTAGGAGTAAGTATATATGATACATACATAGCACATTAATATTACCATGACTCATCGGGGCAGGGAGATGGAACCTGCAGAGAGTCCCTGAAGGAGGAACTACATGGACAAAGTTGAGGTGGAGGTCGTGACCGTCTTCAAGTCCCTGAGATCCTGTGGGGGGGAATGAGTGTATACATAAGAGGTATACTGAGCTCCTGCAGGTTATGGCTCATGATACGTCTTACATGTTTAGCAGGATAAGAATGAGTGTAGGACAAAGTCTCCCAGGAGAAACAATAAGAATTTTTAAAATAATTATTTTATTTTTTACAGATTATGAACACTTATCTAACCTAACCTTCGGGAATTCTGTTATAGTTATAAAGACGTATACAAGGAATGTTTATTAAATCAGCAATGACGTATGTTTTGTCTACTGGGATAATTACTCCCCTGACATTCAGTGACCCAACTTCGCCCTTGGGTCACCTCAGTAAATACAGAATGAACATGAAGGTAAAATATGTCGTCTTTTTTCTTTTCTATTTTGCACTTTTATTGAGGGGCTTTTGTCCTAGGGGGCCTTTGTCCGGGCCCCGATAAGAATTATCTTTATTCATAATACATTTGGCATCTACACAACATTGGGAGCGTGTGTGTACGTTAGCAATTAAGTTCAGATCAAGGTCATATAGCCAACCCACGTTTGACCTGACCTCACCTGAAGAATATCCCTTCCCCCTACCAGCGCTACCTGGGGTGGAGATTCTTCAGGTGATGCAAACACTCACCACTTAACACTAGGCTGACCGTATAAAAATTATTAGAATTTACAGACACCAAACCTAATATTTATCTGGGTAATGCGAATATAATTTACTTCAAGCTGGCAGAAGAGTACCTTGTTGTTGTTGTAGTAGAGGCAGAGGGAGGCGCAGCAGAGGAACACCACGAGGCCGATGATAGGCGCCAACACCACTCCCAGTAACACAGCCGTCGGGTAGAGGATCATGATGTACACGGCACGATGCTCTGATGATAAAGACAATCGCTAAAATAAACTCACTTCCTCCAGGTCTCTTCAGTATATATATATCACTCAATGTTAGACACAGCAGATGAGGCGAATTACCTGATGACTTCCACCTCTGTGTGTCTACCTGAGGCTGTAAACTCCACAGCCTGTGTAGAGTAAGGTTAATTATAAGTCTTCGATTACCTGAAGAGTCTCTACCCCTGCTTATTTCACCTGCAGATTAACCATCATCCTCTCTTATTAGCTAATCCCTAAAGGTGAAGTTTGGCGCCGTCAGGTGTGTTACCCACGTGGTCGGTAACTTCCTACTGGTGTAATGTCTGTTTCTCTGGTTACCTTCCGTAAATTATCACATTAAAGTTAACTCCAGAGACTAATACTGCTGTAGGTGTTGTCGAATTTAAGGACAAATTAAATAATAGTCAGTATAAAGAAAAAATAATAATAATTATTAATAAGAACATATATGTGAAGGCATCACGCAGTACTCGGTAAACACGTTGAGTATGACGTTCTCATATATGCTGATTTCATGTTCTCTTGAATAAAGACGAAAGCATACTCCGCTGTTTCCATTTTCCCGTGTGATTTTATCAAGATATATGCTGATATATATTATATATCCAGTTCACTGCTATTAAGAGACGTAGATTGAGGGGCAATAAGTGTTAGATTTACCCTTATTATCTGTGATGGTGTTGACCAACTGTGTCTTCATCCTCATGGGACTAACGTTACCGGGATTAACCTCAAGTCACGTTAAAAAGGTTCAGGTGAGCGGTGACGGTTTGCGGGCAGGTACCTGAAATACCCCCAAGTGACATCAATTAGCGGGGGATGAGGGGGGGGGATGTTATTATATAACCCCTGGCAGGTGTTGGAGAACCTCAGTCTTAGTCAGGACATCTTAACCATCAGTGCCTTAGTGTCGGTCGTCTCGCTCACTACCCAGTACTGTCAGTGACTGTCAACTATATTCTATCATTATGGAGAACCCGAATGGCTTGTGGGTGCCGGTGGTAGGACTGTTGGTAGCCACGGTCCTCAGTCTGTCTCTCTGCTGCCTGTGTTACTTGCTCCAGAAATATAATGATTCCAGGAAGAAGGTGAGAAGATGCCGTCAGGTAGACAAAATATATATGTTGTGTCGATTTTGCTTTTCTGGATAGTTGCCAAGTTATTAATTTTCGTTCATATTTATATGTTGTTCGGTTTATATTTGAAGCTTCCCGGCGATTTCGAGTTTATTATGATGTTTGGTTACTTGTTCCACTCATCTATTATTCTATTTGTATAAAAACCCATTGGTACAGTTTAGACGTGTTCGCTCCTGGCACACTTAGTTCCCAACATTCCTTTAATACTCTGGATTTTGAGGATTGATATATATTGTTTTACTCTTTTATGTTATGTCCTTCATTTATATCACAGTACATAATTCTCTCACAGATCTGTCGGGACATGAAGCCGAACGCGTCCCTCAGCCCTCCCCTCGCTGTCGACTTCAACCACATAGTTTTCCCGGCAACAAACTTGGGTAAGTAAAATGAATTGTTTTTGTTGTTGCCTTAAGTTGTTTTGATGTAATGTAAATACTATGGTTAGGTGTTGTCATGTGGCTGTTTA